CTGTGATGGTGATCTTCTGGTATGCCTCGGCTTCTATCCACTTGGTGAAATAATTTGTTAGTACTAGGAGGAATCATAGCTTAGCTGAGCTCGAAGGTACTAGTGGTCTTACTATATCCATGGACCATTTCATGAAGGGGTATGGTGATGATATATATGATAGTTTCTATGTCGGTAAGTGTGTCATCGGCACGTGACGTGGCATTTATCACACTTTAGTGTGAACTGTTCGCTATCGTCAGCGATGGTCGGCCAAAAATATCCATGCTTTTTGACTCTGATTCCAATGATCGTCCTCCGGAGTGGCTCCTGCATGATCCGTCATGGATCTTTTTAGGACCGTGAAGGCATCTTTAGGCGATACACATAGTAGATAGGGTTTGCTCAGACTTCGTTTGTATATTTTTTCCTGCATGATGCAATAACGCGAGCTTCAAGCTTTTATTTTTTTGGGTTCCTACCTTTCGCCAGGGAACTCGCCATTTTTAGTGTAATTATGTATCGAGATTCTCCAGTCGGGTGTGGCTTTGAGCTTCTTTTGAAAGGTTTTGTGTGCTTCAGTATTGATTTCCCGGCCACATCGGAAGGAGTCGTTGTGCTCGCTATTTCCCCCGGCCTGATGGACGGTTCGTCGTTTTCTGTGAAGTCTTCAAAGTTCTCAACGTGCTCTTCGTCGAGCTTGTTGCCAATTGTTTCGGCCCCCGATGTCTGGACTTCTTCTTCATTGTGACTCTGAGTTGTTCTTCGAGCTTTACTTCGGGTGATGATCATACCGACCTGGGGAGGAATATCCCCTTGGACATCAATCTCTTTTCATGGGAGGTTTATGCTTGGTTTTTTCAATTCCCTCCACCGGTGTCACCCTTTTCAGTGTTGGGATCGAAGTTGAAGCTAATGCGGCGAGGACGTCGCCTGACGTGTTATCTCTCCTTGGGATCCTCGTAAGATCGAATTTATCAAACTGCTGAGTGATTACCCGTAAAACCGCGAGTTACGCCTCCATTCTTTCATTTTTAGCTTCGTATTCTCCATGAAATTGGCTCGTGATTAGCCGTGACTCGCTGAAGGCGCTTATTTCTTGGGCACCAATGCTCCAAACGCGTCCTAGTCCTGCGATAAGGGATTCTTACTCGGCTTTGTTATTAGATGCATTCAATCCTAGAAGAAACGACTGTTCAGTTATTTCCCTAGTTGGAGACTCGAGTTGTATTCCGATACCGGATCCATGCTTCGATGAAGATCCATCGACATGCAGTTTCCATTTTTTGAACTTAGATTTCGTGTCGGCTTCCTTCGGGACGAGTTCAATAACAAAATTGGCTAACACTTGAGTTTTCGAGCTTGTTCCCGGTTTATATTTGATGTCGTATTCGTTGAGTTTGATCGCCCACTTCGCCAATTTTTCCGATTAACATGTGTAGGACCGTTCGTAGAGGTTGGGTTGTCATGACTACAATTGAGTGAGATTGAAAGTAAGGTCTTAGATTTCGTGCGGCAGTTACGACCATTAATGCCAATTTTTACATCATAGGGTATCTTATCTCACCGTCGATCAATGACCTACTTACAAAATATATCAGTTTTTGTTCACCGTTTTCTTTGCGAATCAGTACTCCGCTCAGCGCATGTTCGGAGGTCACAACGTATAGGAACATGGTTTTGCCCTCGACGGTTTTCAAGAGTATAGGGGGCTCGCTTATACACGCTTTGAGATCTTTTAAGGCGGAGTCGCATTCTTTGTTCCATTCGAATTTTTTATTCCCCTTGAATAATTTGTAGAATGGAAGGCATATGTCGGTCGATCTTGATATAAAGCAGTTCAATGCAGCTATTTTGCTGGTGAGTCGATGTAGAACTCGAATTGATCTTGGAGGTAAAGTATCGATGAGCGTCATAATCTGGTTTGGAATGGCTTTGATTCCTCTTTAAATCACGAGGTATCCGAGGAATTCTCCGGAAGACATTCCGAATGTGCATTTTGTCGGAATCTGTTAAGGATGTTGAAGCACTCCTGGAGCTGGAGGACGTGAGCGCTGACTCTCGACGATCTAACCAGCATATCGTTTATTGATACTTCTATTGTTTTACCAAGTTGTATGGAAAAGATTTTGTTTACTCGTATTTGATAAGTGGCTCCGATGTGTTTTAATCCAAAGGGAATTACTTTATAACAGTATGTGCCGCGTTCACTGATAAAACTTATTTTTCTCTTGGTCTTCGGGGTTCATGAGGATCTATTATAACCCAAAAAAATATCCATGAAAGAAAGTTGTTCGTGTCCCGCTGTGGCTTCGACCAGTCGATCGATATGGTAATGGGAAGCTGTCTTTTGTACAAGCTTTGTTGAGATCAGTGAAATTGATACATACTCTCAAGTCCATTCTTCTTTTTTGACTACAACTGGGTTTGCGAGCCAGTCCGGATATTGGACTTCACGGATGGAACCGATTTTCAAGAGCTTATCGACCTCATCGTTTATGGCTTTAGCTCGCTCGGGTCTTAATCTTCTCCGCTTTTGTTTGATTGGATTGAACGTCAGGTAGACATTTAGATCGTTGGACGTAATATTGATGTCGAATCCGGGCCTGTCTGCTGCAGACCATGCAAATGTTTGGATGTTTTGCTTGAGGAAGAACAGCAGTCGCATCTGATTTTCAGAGAAAGATCGTACCTGATGCTGATGCATTTTTGTGGGGAGTATTCATCCAAGACGATAATGCACGAGAGATATTTTTCGGGATCTCTCACTGTGGGATCGCGATCGGGTGAACGATGTGCCCCTAGTGAAAACGTCTTCTGGAATCGTACATGTAGCAAGCTCGCGATTGCTTCTGGTTCCCGTGTATAATCTTCTCGCCCTTCGGAATATGAATTTCATAAATTGGTGATAGATTTAGGAGATCGCTTTCATTATATGCAACCAAGGAAGTCCTAGAATGGCATCAAAGTGCATGAAGTGATCAACTACGGTGAACTCGGTTTCTAGTTCGAGATCGTGAGTTTTAACGATTATCGATATGATCTCTAATGGTGTTACTACGTTCCCTTCAAAACTAACGAGGGAGATTGATTCGTGATTTATTATTGGATCTGATCGATCAATTGACTGGAGTGTCTTCTGGGAGAGAGTGTTGGTAGCGCTTCCAGTATCGACAAGGATTTTTGAAAAGGTAATGCTCGCGATATCTAGTGAAATGACTAGGGCGTCATCGTGGAGCATATCGAGCTTAACGGTCTCATGTTTATAGAATTTTATGGTCTGATTCTCTGGTGCCGCTCCCTTGGAGGCTGCGGTTCCTGATTCGTTGATCGCTTGCAGCGGAGTTCCGGGCTGCTCGTTGCTGAAGGGAGCGATTTTCTTTTGGGAAGAGATTTCTCCCCTTGATTGGTCATCATTCCTCCCTTTATTGGATAAACTGGTACGATCGGGGCCTTTTGATGACATTGATTTTCTCAATCTCAGAGGATCGAGATCGATCGTTTTCTGTTCGATGTAGCCAGGCTGGGCTTGGTTTGGATCCATAGTCGTGCTTAGGAACTTAGATCAGATTCTTAGAAAGGATGTTTTTTTTTTGTTTATCTTCCCCACAGACGACGCTAAAATGTAGATACTAAAATCTACACTAAGTATTTTGTAGTGACTGAAAGTTAAATTTAGGGAAGAAAATAGATGTGGACAACAATATCCGTAGAGCAATGATATAATCAGATTCCGGTAGATGAAGATAGACTTTATTAATGGTTAAGGTTGAATACAATGAATAAAACAAGAGGAAATACTACAAATGAGATCGGAAAAAGAAAAGACTCATTGTGAAGTCGAACGAGGTTGGTGTGTGTAGTAAGCTCTCTAAGGTTTTTCACGTGTCCCATGTCTTCTTATAATCGATCCACCTCGGATTCTCCTCAACTTCTCCCGCGATCTCAGTATCGGCTTGTTTGAACCAATCTGTATGGACTCGAACCTCGTCTCCTTAATAGGCCGTATGGTCCTTCTCTTATCCTAGTGGAATATCAAATTTATCTCCTTGATCTCAAAAATTTTCTTTATTTGGGTTTTACTCGCTCGTTCCTAAATTGGAATGGACCGAAATTGGATCAAACATATAATATATTTTTACATATCTATTTTGATGCTTAGCAGTTCCTTTAATGTTTCTTTTATGATTTTTTATTTGTTTGATTTTTTGTTGATATTTGTAGTCTTTTGCGTATGTCCTTTTTATATATATATTTTACTGATTTTCAAATGATAATCAAATAGTTTTGAATTAAATGACTAATAGTTGGACATATATTAATTTTATTTACTCAAAATGATGAGATGTCAATGCTGGAGAACTCCTCTTCACTGCCAGTTTTGAATTATTTGGTTGCTATATATATATATATATATTTTTTGGCTACTAGAATATATCATCTGAATATGACAACATCCCTTTTCAACAGCTCTTAAAAAATATCATCTGAATTCATCATTTGATTTTTGCACTGAAAGCTACTAAAATTTTAATTTACCTCATCATCATAATTAGTGATTTATTAGGTATGGACATTATTATACACTTAAAAGATTTTATAGCTGTATTAAAGGTTGTGTAACATAGGAGTACTATGCTAATGATATGCATAACATAAAGAAAATAGTTACAAAAATACATTATTAGCAGCATTAGCATAATCCACTATCACCAGAAACCATGTTGACACTAAATCGAAAGACTCTCCCTAATTTTTGTTGTATTTTTCCCTTAATTTACTCATTACCTCGATCAATATTGTTCATAGACTCAGTTTCACATGTAAACTTCAACTTCGGGCTTCTCTTTTTTTTTTTTTTTTTTTTTTTTTTTTTTTTTTTTTAAAAAATT